GAGTCTGCTGAATGTAGGCTCTTACATGGGACTGGGTACCAGAGCATGTCTGGGAGGACATGGCCTGAAAACCAGTGCTTGGAGAGGCTGAGTCTTGCCCAGGGCCACATGGGGGGAAGGGGGCTGAGTCCTCTGAGGCCAGAGCTGACCCGGTCTCTACCTCCGAAAGTGGCCCACATGACGGTCACACACTTGGACAGAGCTCCCCAATCCCGGCATTTCACGCTTCTCAGGAGACTCTGTGGGGACGGGGTTTGCAGCATGTGCACTTGTGGGGTCAGTGTCCTGGGAAAAGTGTATGTTCACTCCTGCACCATGCACTGGCCCCATGTGTCTTGGGACACTCTCTCAATCTCCCAAGCTCAGCCACATGTACAGTGTAGATTCTGTATCAGAAACCCACAGATGTTCTGTTCCAAGTTGACAATGAGTTTCTGAGCTTTGGTTATTCTGTCTCATTTGTGTCTCTACTTATTGGCCCCACAAAGCAGAACTTGATGCTTGCAGTAATCCTCGCCATTTAATTGCATACTTATGTTGGCAATGTATGCTGTTTCTAGCCCCGTTAGCCTTTTGCTCCCATAAAATTAATAACTAACTCACATGCTATTTTCATCAGTGCACCATGTCATTGTAACCCATAGATGGGGCTTCCCTCTTGCCAGGGCTGCTTCTGGTTAAAAACTTTCTGTTCAGGTCCTGGCTGACTTTTACATCTTCAGTTTAACAAGCAAAAGTAACTTTGATTAGGATTGTCCTAGTCCAGTTCATCAATAGCAGGGGAATTCATAAGCAATCACCAAAATGCATCAAAAAATAAGATGGCTCAGTGGATAGACAGAAAAGATACATGATATAGTAAACATGGCAAATGGTAACAATGCGCCCCTCCCTGCGGCTACGTGGCATCCATGGTCCAGCTGGGAGAAGAAATTATCAAACCTATTAGGAAATTCTGCAGAGATAATTGTCCCATTATAAGGAGGCCAGAGGAACGAGGTTATATTTTAATTTGCTCAACTGACTGGGCATCTCACATGAAAATGGCTTATTTTGAAGTAAAGTTCTATGGAAAAAAATATCGAGTTGCTCCCTAGGTGCCAAGAGTGGTTGTGGAGGACCTGCAGGGAAAGGTGAACTCTTTGGCTGCACATGAGTCCTAGTGGGCGATTCTGCAGGCACAGCACCACCCTCAGGCCAAACCCAGGCCACTGCCCAGGTCTGTACAACCCACATCTAAGAGTAGCTTTTATATTTCTTAAGGATTGGGGGAGAAATCCAAAAAAGAACATTATGACACCTGAAAGTGATACGAAATTCAGAGTTCAGTGTCTGTAAGTGAAGTTTAACTGGGATCCAGCCACATCTATTTGTTAACTCATGTAGAGCAAATCAGCCAGCTACGTTGCGCCCATGCGAGGTGGCACGCTGATTCCCACCATGGGTGACCTACCAGCATTTCAGGGACATCACTTCTACATGGGGCATTCTAAGAAAGAGCTGTTTTTGTACCACAGCCACAAAGTTGAGTAGCTGTGACAAGCCCTGTGGCCCATAGAGCCTGAACCACTCATTCTCGGGCTCTTTTCGAAACCTCTGACAACTCAGCCTTCTAGGGTAGAAACGTCATTTCCACGCGTTCAGATACCAGGCGGCCGATGTCTGGCAATGGCATATCTAAGGAGTATGGTGACCATATCACTTGGCCTATCACTTTAACTCTTTCATTTCATATGCTTTCTGAAGTGAGTTCATTTTTTCTCTCATTTACTGTGGTTGCTGAGCAAGCTGGCTCTATCCTGCACTCCAGGGAACGTCCTCACACTTCTCATCAGCCGTGCGTGACTTGGCACATTAGGTGTGACCCAGAAAAGGATATGTGGCCCCAAGAATTGTTTGTAATAAAAATGGACCTTGAATGGCAATCTCACATAGACTTAAGATATGGACTTCAAGGGAAAAATAACTGCCCCTTAGGTGTGAGGGTAGGATAAGAAAGCCTTGGGAAGGCATCTAGGGCCCTTGCCTGTGAGTCAAATGCTGCGTTTAGTTCTGAAATATGTTTTTTGCAAGAAAACTAATAAAACAGATGTTTAAGAACTATGACCCAATTAACTCTCATTTCGCAGGTTGCTTACTGGCTCCCTGCAGCTTCAGTGTTCTCAGAGCCTCACTGTGTAACCACAGGACACACAGAAAAAGCAAGTTCAAGTCGCCTCATGGAGGCAGGGCTTCAGGAATGCTGTCTCCTAGAATGCCCTATGTGGCAGTGAGGTCTCTGAAATACCGCCAGGCCACCCGTAGGGGAGCTCAGTGGGTCACCTCTGCAGTGGCTCAGCATTGCTGACTGATTTGTCCTTCGTGAGTTGAGTGATAGCACTCACTTGGTCCACGGTTTCACAGGTCCAAGTTTGCAGCTTTTTCTTTCCCTTTTTCTTTTTCCTTTGGCCTTTCTGTTTGTTTGGTTTTTTTTCCTTGCCTGCAAGGAAGCCAAAGAAACTTGAACAACCTGATTGTAAAGTCACAAATTAAGTAGAAGCATGCAAATCAAATACAGCATCACCAGGGCCCTGTCTTGTGAGATTTGCTTGTTCATTCCACATGTGTTCACTGAGCACCTGCTGAGTGCCGAGCACTGTGCCCAGGTGAGCTGAAACAGGTGTGGTGCTACTGCGTGGAATTTGCCATCCGGGGCAGCGTGGCTCAGCAGTTAGCCACACAAAGGTTGTGACAGCAGCTCTGATGAGGACAAGGGTTAGGGTGGGGGATTCAGATTTTGGTGCCAGTGCAGTGGGGAGACAGGACGAGCTGGAGGAGTTCGAAGCAAGAGGAGAGTGAGCAGATGCCTTTTGAGCAGCTCACTGTGACTGCTTAGTAGAAAATGGACCGACTGTGGGGAGATGAGGTGGGTGTGTGTCACTAGTTAGGAGGCTGCTCAGGGATACAGGCAAGAAGTGCTGGGTTTGGGGACTGCTGTGGGTCCCGCGTAGGGAAGTGGCAGGCACCGTGGGAACTGCAGAGGTAAACTTGGCAGGACCAGGGGCAGACTGGGTGTAGAGGACAGAGGTGCAGACGGCATTGAGGGCTGCCAAGTCCAGTTGTGATCTACCAGGAGGGCCTGGTTTGGCAGGGGAGGGGGCAGTGCTGAGAGGATGGAGAGTTTGGTGAAGGATGGGAGTGCTGACTGTGATGCTTTGGAGGAACCACCAAATGGGTGCCAGGCGTGTTTCTGGAGCTCAGAGAAGTGGCTGGGGTGGGAAGGCCTGAGCCTATGTGCCTCTGCCCTTGCCCTCTGTGGGACTCTCCACTGCTCCATTCACTCCATTTTTTCCTCAGTTCTGGCCTTGAAGTCCTATCTGTCTTTGGAGGCTCCTTGTTCCTCTCGGTCCCGCAACTCTTCTCCCCTCCCCCTGCCCAGCTCTCCCATCTGGAGGAGACCTTGCCCGCTCCCCCATGGCTCTTATATGGGCCAAGGCTGGCAAATCAGCCTCTCTTGGCACCCCTTGGCATTTGTGTCATTCCATCCCCTGGCACCTCACTCAGTGTCTGGTGATGGGGGACAGATGCCCCAGAGGTATGCTTGTCACATGTACTGCGTGTGCGCTTCCTACAAGATGGATTCTGGTGGCTCACCCTGCTGGCAGCTCTGGACCATCCACGGCTGCCGGGCCCTTCTAGACATCTGTGGGTCTCGCTGCTCATGGAAAAACAGCCACGGTGCTGCTCGGTCTCAGCAGATGAGAAATGGGCACTAAGTAGAGGGAGTGCTGGTGGGGGATAGCTCAGAAAAGGTACTTTAGTAGAGCATGTTTTACTAAAAAAGTAAATGACGGCAACTATGTCAAAAGACAGGTCTTTAAGCCACAGCTTAACCAAGAATGACCCAAAGGGTGGATCCACAGCATTTCCTGCTCCAGAAAGCAGGGTCTAGCCATGAGAAGGGCGGGTAGCCACAGTAGATGACTGTGGGTGACAGTTCCTTCTCCAGTGTCTCCCATGAGCACTCAGCACAAGCCCTAAGGAATCTGGGCATGCTAACCCACGTGATGCCCTCAAATGGGACTTTTAAATTAATTAAAATTGGGCCGGGATCGGTGGCTCAGCCTGTAATCCCAGCACTTTGGGAGGCCGAGGTGAGTGGATTGACTGAGTCTGCAGGTTTGAGACCCGCCTGGGCAACTTGACGAGACCTCATCTCTACAATAAATCAAAAATTAGCTGGGTGTGGTAGTGCGCACCTGTAGTTCCAGCTACTTGGAAGGCTGAGGCGGAAGGATCGCCGGAGCCCAGCAGATCGAGGCTGCGGTGGCCGGAAGCGGCCATTGCACTCCAGTCTGGGCGACAGAGTAAGACTCCAACTCAAAAAAAAAAAAATTAACTAAAATTGCAAAAGCTCCTCTTACCCAGACAACCAGTTGTCTTGTCATTTGACCTTGTCAGGAGGTCATCAGGTACCAAAGCCACAGGCACCAGCACTTTGGTGTGTAGGTACATGGGACCAACGGCAGGTGTCCAGGGTGCGCTTCTCTGCCACACGTGCATTTGAAACTCTGTTAACTGTTTGGCATTGCTGCCACGGGCTTAACTACCAGCACATCCTTGTGTTCAAACCCCCTATTTCCACTTGAGATATTTCCTTCCAGCTTGCTGAGAGCGTCCACAGTTCATACATTGCTGTTTTCCAGAGAGCTATCAAAGGAAGCACAGTCCTCTGCCTCGGTGGCCCACGTGATTACCTCCCAGCGATAACACGTGGCCCCTGTACACCCAGGGCGGGGCAGGCTGCCAAGGGGACAAGCTAAGGCAGGTAATGCTGCCAATAGTCACCCTCCCACAAAGCCACAGTAGCCCGACATTTTCTTTTTGCTCTTAAATCTGGGAAGTAGAGGCAACGTTCTGGCTTTTTGGAGAATAATAGTGCTTCCCTAATGTGCTCACTATAAAAGCGGGAGTCTGCTTGTCATTTTTTTTCAGACTTAGTCTATTTCTTTATTTTACAGGCATGAAAATAAAAAGAAGCTAACAACCAATGTCAAGCCTAAAGGTAAGGGAGTCTGCCAGGCGCCAGATGGTCATTTTGGATTCCAGCCCAGAAGGTGTTTGTGGTGTATGCTTGATGTGTTCACCCTCGTGTGGGGCCGCCACAACCTGTGAGCCCAGGGCTGCCCGCATGCTCTCCCTGGTGGACTCTGAAGCTTCTCAAGCCCCAAGTCTCCAGTGACAAGCTGCACAGGTGCCCTGGGTCTTAGTGGCAGAATGTTGGAACTTGTGAGCATGGGTTTGCAAGGATCGCAGCCTTTGCCCCAACAGACCCTAGCACTCATGCCCACCTACAGGGCACTCCTTGCCCCCCCCCAGCCTCACATGTACCCAGTGCTCGTGACATTGCCAGCCTTGAGTAGCCTCACTGACCTCCTCCTCCCAGGCCTCCATCTCCCACCAGCCCTGCCCCTGGTCACAAGGTGGCCCTCTCACGGTCCTGCTTCAGGGCTGCTGATGCTCCCCCACAGCCTTCAGGACAGAGTCTAAGCTTTCTCCATTCATAGTCTGGTCCCATCCATCCCTGCTTTCCAGCTTGTCCCTCCCAAGATCTGGCCTCTTTGGTTCTAACCCCAATCAGCTTTTTAAGATGCAGTGCACCTATGCCTCTGTACCTTTGCCCAGTTGTTTCTTCTGTGTGGCATTCCTTTCCCTTATCTTCAGCCCCATGAGCTCCTTCAATACCCAGCTCATGAGGAAACTCAGTCCTCCTTTCACCATAACTCTGTGGTACATCCTTGCCAAGCCTGGGCTTCTCCACTGCTGTCTTCTGGAACCCCATGCCCAGGGGACTGTGGAGACCAAGGTCTAAGTCAGGTGGCCTGGGTAGGACTCCCAGCTTGACCACCCACCAACACAGTTATTTGTTTGCTCAATAAAATGAGTACATTAATACTGATCATACCAGGTAGTGCCAGAATTTTTTTTTTTTTTGAAAGCAGGATTTATTGAGAGAACGGAAAAGCTCCCCCAGTGGTAGGGGGCCCAAAGAGGTTGTCCGGTGCCAGGATTAAATGGGGCCATATTTAAGGAATCAGCACAGAGCCGCAAGTCCTGCCATGTGGGCGTCAGTACAGTTGTGCGGGTGGTCACTGTGGTTGGCGCTGTCGGTGGCCCCACCACATCCTGCCAGGCCATGGAAGGGCCCTCAGCTCCGGCCCCCGCATGTGTCACAGCCTTCCGCAGCAGGCAGCTGTGTGTCTCTGCAATGGGCTTTTTGTGGCCACAGGGACATGCTCAGCCCCACAGGGCAACCCTGGGTAGAGCCACAGCCCTGGATGAGTGGCCCTGTGCCAAGAGGGGAGCTGGCCAATCAGTAACTGCCTCTTGTGCTTCTCCAGGATGGTCTGAGGAGAATGCCACCATGTCCCAGAGGGTCCCCAGTAGACTGAGCCCCACTCATCAGCGAACCATTGCCTCCTTCTCTCCCTGGGGTCACTCTACTCCTGTCATCATGGCTCCCAAGTCACCTCCCAAATAAGTGTTATGGACCCAAGTCCTGTCTCAAGCTCCAGCTCTCTGCACACTCCTCTGCCATGCCTTTCCCATCTCTCTCGTGAAAGATGGAGGGATGAAGTGGAGGAGGAGCAGCAGGAGTGGCAGGGTCAGGCCTGAGAAAGCACCCCAGGCAGCCCTGCTTCGTGCTATCCCTGGTGCTAGATGCCTGTCCTGTGGTGAAGAGGTGGGCACCGCAGAGGGGAAGGAGGCACTCTGCAAAGTGTTTCATGACGGTGCAGGGGTCATACTTGGAGACGTGTGAGTCTGAACAGTATTGACAGGATTCTGGGGTATCTGCACAGGCATTTGTGTGGTGTCCCTCTTAACCAGCCCTGCTGTGCTGTTTTGTAAACTCTCAGAATACAGAGTGTTCACTGGCTGCCTGTTTTTTTGCTTTTTTTTTTCTAGTCTTCTGGGACGAGTCTGACGATAGTAACTCAGAAATTGAAGCTGCTTTACGTCCAAGAAGCCACAACACATCCACCAGTGATTTTGATGATTTCTATGATTAATAAGCTGTAACATGTTGGAAATTATCTGTAAATCAGCTGAAACCCTGCATTTATTCGTGATAGCCAAAATAAACATGTCCTTTTAAGTTTTCTAGTTGTTTATAGGAAACTTGGAACCACATTACTATTCAAGTAAAATTGCATGGCATAAATATGAATTCACATATTTATTTTGAAGTGTCATCAAGCAGCAAAGTGATGAATGCAGTGCCCATCAAAATTCAAGTTCATTTACTTTTAGAAATTAACCTGATATTAAAATTTATATGGAAATTCAAGAGACTCAAAATAGCCAAAACTATCTTGAAAAAGAAATACAAAGTTGGAATATTCACACTTTCAGGTTTCAAAACTTATTAAAAAGTTACTAGTTAAGACAGTATGGTACTGGATAGACATATAGATAAATGGAATATTGATTCCATTGGTTTATATGTAATCAGAAACAAACCCTCAAATTGATGGTCAATTCATTTCTGACAGGGATGCCAACACCATTCAGTGGGGAAAGAATAGTATTTTTAATAAATGATACTGGGACAATGGGGTAGACACATGTACAAGGATGAAGTTGGATTCCTACCTCACACTATGTACAACAAGTAGCAAAAAATGGATCAAGAACCTTAAAGTAAAAGCTAAAACTGTACAAATCTCACTAGAAAACTTAGGTGAACATCTTTATGACATTGGATTAGGCAGTCATTTCTTAGGTATGACTTCAGAAGCACTAACAAGAGAAAAATAGATTGGACTTCATCAAAATAAAAACTTTTTACTACAAAGGACGCCATCAAGAAAGTGAAAAGACAACCTATAGAATGAGAGAAAATATTTGCAAATCACGCATCTAAAAAAAGGACTTATATCCAAAATATTTAAAGAACTCTTAAAATTCAGTAATCAGAAGGACAACCCAATTTTTTAAATGGGCAAAGGACCTGAATAGATATTTCTTCAAAGAAGACATATGACTTTAGAGCAAGGAAAGATTTATTAACCAAAACAGAAAAAGCACAAGCTTGTAAAGGAAAATATTGAAAAATATCATTACATTAAAACTTGAAACTTCTGTGTAACAAAAATACTGATAATGTGGGAAAAAGGCCAGGCAACGTGGCTCATGCCTGTAATGCAAGCACTTTGGGAGGCCGAGGCAGAAGAGACCAACCTGGGCAACATAGCGAGACCCCATCTACAAAAAATTTGAAAAATTAACCAGCCATGGTGGTTCACACCTAGTCCCAGCTGCTAGGGGAGGCTGAGGTGGGAGGATCACCTGAGCCTAGGAGGTCGAGGTTGCAGTGAGCCATGATCATGCCACTGCACTCCATCCTAGACCTTGAGTCAAAAGAAAAAAAAAAGACAAATCATCAGAAGGTGACATTTATGATATACATCCATCAATGATCCGTGTCTAGAATGCATTAACCATATTGAGAAACATACAACTCAGTGGAAAAAAGCATCAGAATAAGCAATTCATAGAAAAAGTAACCCAAGTAATCCACAAACATACAACAGTACTCAAACTCACCATAATAGCAAACTGTGGAAAAAATACACAATAAGGTGCCATTTCATACCTGACAGACAGACAAGGATTAGGAAGCAGGTCACTCTGACAACGGGTAAGGGCTTCGGGAACCTCAGGTAAAGTTGGTGCTGGGCATATCCCATGGCCTTACAATTCCATTTCTAAATGTATACCCCAGAACCACACTTTCCAATGCAGTTATCACAAGCCATGTGCCACTTCTGAGCACTTGAAATGTGGCTAACCCAAACTGAGATAGACACATGATATCTGAAGACTTTGTATGTGGGAAATAATGTGAAATATTTTGCTAACTTTTATTTTGGTCATATATTGAAGTGGATATAATGGATATTGGGGGTTAAAATATACCACTAAAATTAACTTCAGCACTTTTTAAAACCAGTTTTTACATTATCTAATGTAGCTCCTGGAAAATTTTAAATTGCATGTATGACTTGCATTTGTGATTTTTATCACATTTCTATTGGCAAAACAAAGATGCTATAGAGAACCCTTGCTGTTGTACCGAAAGGGACATGTTCAAAAATTTAATTGTGATACAGTTTGGAATAGGAAAATTGAAAGTATCAGTGCCCAGTGCCAGGAAAATGATAAACACATCGCTGAGGGATTTATACAATTAAGAAAGCATATATAAAAGTGAAAAACACAAAACAATTCAGTGTGTTATTTACAGATAGGGAGAAGAGGACTTACGTAGTAAAAGTATTAAGACATGGATGGAAGGGACTTGTGAAATCATCAAAAAGTGATTACTCGGGGGGAGGGAGCAAAAAGGAGAACAGGGTGGGTGTTGGAGAACTTCAATGTGTTGTTAGCAGCTTATTTCTTTAAATTAAAAAGCACATGTTCTAGCCAAGATACCTCTCAATTTCATGTACTACAATTGTAGTGTAGAAAGACACAGAAAAGCCATACATATTCTTCACTTAAGTCATTGATAACCACTAATTTTTCTTTTTTAAAAAATTATTTATGTAGGCCGGGCTCGGTGGCTTAGCCTGTAATCCCAGCACTTTGGGAGGCTGAGGTGAGTGG